CCAGAAGATAAACACCAGGTCCTCTTTCTTGCTCTCCTTGGTCTCATAGGTAGCGTCATAGAGGGCATAGCGGCAGTCCTTGTCTGGCAGCATCTTGACAAAGGTGGCGTAGGGATCATCCACAGTCTGGCCCACATCACCTACCAGGATCTCCTTGCCCTCCTCCAAGATGATGTTCTTCTTGTCCTCACTCAGGCAGAAGAGCACTGCCTTCTTACGCTTCTTCACTTCCTCTGGCGTTGAAGACTTGCGTACCTTCATATCATTGAATACCTTGATGACGCCATCAGAGACAGCCACACCAGAAGCCTGAGAAATGAAACCAGACACACCTCATAAGAAAAAGAATTCTGTAGAACTGCTCCTTACAGTCCCTCCTTTCTGTTCTCAAGAGATCTCTGTCTGGATGCCAAGTACAGTCCTTAGCCCTAGTCTCAAGGGATCACTAATTCTCTTTCCAAGGCAAGTCATTACTTTCCCACTCAAGYCACCACCAAAAAAMCAAATAGCATACAACCACTGCATGGCAGCCATGGAAAAGACCTTCAGTTACCTAATTCAAAATCCCCTGTCACCCATCTTATAGGATAGCAACTGAAAACCTGTAAAAAGCAAAGCCTTGGCTGCACTGTGAACCCAGAATTAAGAAAACCCATGGGCTAAGAGTTTGGTTCCTACTCTTAGTACTCCATCTCAGTCTTTGGATAAAGGGATGCCTTTGAACTTCACAGGCAGAAGGACCAAACACCTGGGCCCTAGTCTCCAAAGAGGAAACCAAGATTCTACAATACTCCAGATGGGTCACCAACAGGTATACAATTAGTTTTGGCAAGCCCATCAGAACGGCTCTATGCAGTTATTACAAAACGACACTCTTCCCTTCAGAGATCTTCCCCAAACAAGAAAGGAATTCTAACTCCCAATTAGGACCCTGCTGGACAACTCCCTGTCCTCCAGGAGTGGTTCTGGGTCCCAGAGTTGCTAATACCAGGCATAACTCTAGTTCCCAGCATTTTCGAGCCCTCTTTAAACTATGCTGGATCGTACTAGAGGAAGCTCTAAGGAGAGGCAGCGACAGTCCCTGGCGAAATCCGGCACCCCCCCCCCGCCCGCGGAACTGCAGCGGAAGCTGGCCACGTGACTCGGCCACTTCCGGAGTAGGCGGAGAAGAGATGGGCTAGGTCCGGCCCCCTCCCCAAGAGAGAAACCCGCTCGGGAAAGGCAGTGACACCTCCAGGACCTCAACATCCAGAAAGCGCCTTTAAGGACAAGACTGTAGGCCTGTCAGCTACAGGCTGTAATCTGGGAGCTTACACAAGCCTTAGTTCTCGAAGCCTTCGGGCTAAATATAGGGGGCGGGACGGTTTCCGGGCGGTGCCCGCCTGGGTCACTTCCCTAAACTCGGCTCCACCCTCAGGCCCCATCCGGCAAAGCCAAAGGCCCGTTTGTCCGGAGCTTTCAGCCCCGGTGGACAGGCTTGAATGTATGCGCACGCGCCGGCCGGTCGACAGTGCTGTTCCAACTCTGGCCGGCGGTACAGACGAAAACCCAGTTCGCAGTGCGCGCTCGCTCGCTCCCGAGTAGGTCCACGGCCTCTAAGATCCACTCCAAGCCTTACAGTGCAAGCCCCTAACCGTCGGCCCGGCGCCCCAAACAGGACGCCGTCGACATAGCATCCCCCTAGGCACCGCGCCCCCGCCTCTCCCGGGAGCCGGCATTCCCTGCCACCTGCTCCCGAGACAGACCCGCCCGCCGAGGGAGGGTAACTAAGAGAAAGGAACAGCCCTTGGGTGGGGCGCGCGCGCCGAGACCTCTCGCGCGCTTTTCTCTGGCCGCCCCCGGGGCAGGTTTGGACGCCGCGTGCTCTGCCGGGGGCGCGCCCTCGTGAAACGCGCTACGCCGGCAGCTTCGCGAGGGGCGCGTACCCGCGAGCCCCCTCCCCCACGCCCGGTGTCCGCGCGGGCGCACCAGCGGATGGGGGAGGGGAAAGGAGTCCAGGGGGCGCGCGAGCGACGTCCCAGCCGGCCCTTCCTCGCTCCCACGGGCGCGCACGCGCGGGCCATCGCCGCCCGCCCCTCAGTGTGAGACCCTCATCCCGCCTGGGGCGCTGGGGGAGGGGTTGCCGACATCAATCCCCGGTGACCCCCGCGCGCAAGCGACCGATCCGCAGCCGCCTCCCCTCGGGCACGGTGACCTGCCGCTCACCATGTTTCCGGAAGCGAAAGGAAGACGACAAGAAGAGCCTACGAAGACGAGAGCCGCCGCAGCTGCTGCCGGGATCCGACTGAACGCGGCCTCTCCCGGCCCCTTCCGTTTAGTAGGAGCCGCACAATGAGGGGCGGGGCGAGCTTCCGGCGCTCCCCGAGCGGGCCGACGGGAAATGGAGTCCAAGGGTCCTGCGCCGTCGTGGGGTTCTTTGGGTAATAGTCTGTCGCATGGCCCACCACCCTGCTCCGCAGTGCATGCGTGGAAATGTAGGCCGAGGCAGCTGAAGGGGTGGAGACATGGCGCGGAAAGTGAGCCCATTGGTGGAATTTCCCAGGAAACGTTCTGATCTGAGCTATAGTCCCGGCGCTGCGTAAAATGACCTGAAAACCTTTCCCTACTAAACCGTTCCCCAGTGAAACGGTTTTTCTACGACCCATCTGTCACTTTCTGAATCCCTTAGTCTTAAGTTTTTATCTGGAATAGAATTTTGCTTCTCTGAATCGAAGCAACTATTCATTGGCCTGGAATCTCGTCCTAAAGCAAGGAGAATCGCAAGTATAAAGGTGTCCTAAATAAATATTTGAGTACCTTTCGTATGCGAAGCCACTGTGGTCTCCGGAGGAAAGGTCATATGCAACTTCAACAAAATAAGAATAGGAGGGAGAAAGGCCATTAGGAAAAATTTGAAAGGGGAGCTTTGTTCTTGCTTAAAGATGTTTGTAAAATCCATTAGGCAAAAAAGAGGGGAGGCGAGGATTTGTGCATTCAAGAATTCTTGTGCCTTTCACCATATMGGGAGAAGAGGGGAAAGATACCAAGCTAGATTTGAACCTAGTTCATAGGGTTATGGCTATTCTGATACTCGCAAAAAGGAGCAGGACCTTAAGGGTAATTAGAGTGGGAAGCTCTGGGAAAATTTCGTTAGCCTAGAACAATGGCCATGACTTCACATTCTGCAGGAAAAGAAGGCAAGGTCGCGAACATGTCAGAAGCAAGGGGAATTGGCGACCTTAATCCCATTAGCAGAATAAAGAGTGTAAATGGAGAATAGTGCCAGGGAGTGGGGTACCTCACAGAGCATGCCGGGGGTTGTAGTCRGGGACACCCAAACGCACCGCCGACGAGCCAAACTCCTGGAGCTTCAGGTAGAGGCGGTAGTTCGACTCCGCCTCCCCCAAGCGGGGGCGCTTCAAGAGGCTACTAGCACCRCCTTTTTAGAAATTAGCATTTTCCCAGAGCAACGAGGAGGGGGAGGGGGCTTCGCAGTTACCCTGGAGAGCTCTCCGYCCGCCCCCGACCGCGGGATGCCCTAGATGTCCTTATTAGGACAAGAGACCAGAGGGGGTGGGGCCAGGCCGAAAGCCGACTTCAGGCTCCTTATAAGGCCTGGTGGGGAGGGAGCCGGGAGCCTGCTGGGGATGCTACACGGCTGGTAGGCGGAGTCTGAGGGGCGGACCTGAGGTCTGGCGCCCGCCTCTCTCCCAGCAGGCCCGCACCTCCCGACTTCCGGCAAGATAGCTAGAGGCCTGGGCGGGGAGCGGGAGGGGTTGCTTCGACCCGTGTCCTGCTCCATTGTAAGTGTCCGTCAACCCGGAACCTCTTCTAAGGGTCCTCAATCCACTCGAGGATCCCCCACTTCGAATGAGAGCCACAGAAGTGACGAGTGTTCTTTTCTACCTTTGTCTACAGCCGGCTACGCGAGATCCGACCACGTGCCCACCTGAGGCCTCCCCACTTACTTGCCAGGACTGGCGGCATCTCTTTCTTACTGTCTTTCTCCTACTTTTCCTCTCCCTCGGTCCACCTAGCTTGGGCTTTCTGTGCACATCCCCGACTTCGCAGCCCCAGTCACACTCACTCGCCGCAYACGCTGCACACGCAGGGTCCCGCGGCTCCGGATCACTATTTCCTCAGATCCTTCGCTCTTTCTGCCTTACCCTTGGGTCCTCATCCCTTGCACGCCTTCCTAGATGTCCCTCCCACAAATATAATTACACTCACTTGCCCACACCCCCTACAAATCTTTTCAAGTCCAGTCTCTGTCCAACCTCCTTTGCAAAGGTGAGGCTGAAACTCAGACCTTGGAACAGCCAAATTAAGGTTGCTCCGTTAAGCGCCGCCTCAGTCTGCCCTCCCCGTCGCAGGAGGCGCTGTCGGTCTTCCTATTGCTTGCACAAGATGCCCCTGCTCACTCATTGGAGAGGGGTGGGAGGAAGGGGCGTGTCAAGGCTCCAAGGCCTGGAGACGGCGGGTCCTGAAGGCTGATCGTGGACTGGGGGAGGGGAGGCAGCTTAAGCGAAAGGTGATAGTGACCGCTCTCCAGTTAGTCGCTTCSAGTAGTGCAGGGGCGGGGAGGGCGGCAGGAGGCTACCCTCGAGCTAGTTACCCTCTGGGGCCACGTGATTAGACAGGTCCTGCCCTCACACTACCCCCAGCCAGGTGTTCCATTCCCGACCCCAGAACTGGAGGTGCCCCAGTCTCACGGGCTCGAGGCGCCAGAGGATCCGCCCTGGGACTCTTGGCGGCGCGGGTCCGCCTGGGCCAAAAACGGCCGCTGCCGGTTTGCCCCAACCCGCTTTTCGTACGCTGGCTGACCGAGTGGCRGGATGAGGCGGCCAGCAGGGGGCGTCGCACGCGTTTCGTGTTTCAGAAGGTGGGTTCCAGTCAACTGGGAACAAGTGCTGGCGGAACCAGACGACCTGGCCTATCCTGACCTAGTTCCCTTCCCCTACCCCTGCCAGGCGCTGCGCTCCCTCAGGCGGTACCCTCTGCCCCTGCAAAGCGGGAGGGAAGCTAAGATACTCCAGCACTTCGGAGATGGGCTCTGTCGTATGCTAGATGAGCGGCTGCAGCAGCACCTAGCTTCAGGTGGTGATCGCCTCCGGCAGGAATGGGAAGATCCTCCGTTTCCCCCAGGTGCAGCCTCTATCTCGAATACTTAAATTTCGAGATTCCCAACTCCTGTCCTAGTTGCTGTTTGACTTGGGGCTAGTGATTGGCACTCACATACACAAGCAGACTGCATCCCAGACCTCGCGACTGCCAGATTTCGTGTGATGCGGGACTCGTTTTCTTTTGTTCCCACAGATAACCCAGCTTCTGGCTCATCATCTGGAGAGATGCGTCCAACCCAGAAAGGGTCACCTGCCCATGTCCAGGACTCTTCCATGCCAGTGAGGAAACGGCAAGGGGACTGGGAAACGAAATGGGAGTACTGCTAGTAGGATTTCTTGATTTGAGAATGTTAACAGGCCTTAGTCCAAATCTCATGGGTGATGCCTGGCCTAGGGCAAATGACTTATCTTCTCTGAGACTGCGATTTAGCTGCAATGGGAATATTGACAACAGCTGTAGAGGAAATTCCTTAACTAAGCTATTTAAGGGGGCCCAGCCCAGGAAGTAATGGGGCTGCTGTTGGTGTTCCTGCTCTGCAGTGGGTGGCAGAACTGAGGCTGGGCCAGGCAGCTGCCCCCTGCTCTGCAACTCTGCACTGTCCCATCCAGATTTGCAGGGGGTTATTCAAGAAAACTGGAGGCAACTGAGGGACTTGCTCAGCACCATGAAGTCAGCTGAAACAGCCATGCCAGGAAATGAGCCGTCAGTGACTTGCCAGCATTTGTGTTCAGAGTCCCTATGTTCCTTTCAGGTTCTTGCCCAGCCCCAAGCAGGAGGCTCAGGTGGCTACTGGCCAGCTCGGCACTCGGGAGCCCGAGCAGTTCTGCTGGAGCTCTACCAGGAACACTTGGTTAGTGCCTGGACACACTGGTAATAGCTAGTAGAGGCAGTGGGGGTGAGGGGAGGCTCCTGGAAGTGCCTTTCTGGGTAAGGTGGGCAGAGAACATCCCTGTCACTTTGGCAGAGTGAGGAGGAGCCTCAGCACTGAACCTACCCTGTTGTTTCTGTTTGAGAATCCCGCAGGCCGCAGCTTCCTAACCAAGGAGGAACTGCTGCAGAGGTGTGCCCAGAAGGCCCTCAAGGTGAGCACCAAGGTGGAGGAAGACAGGTGGAGCCCATCAAACTGCACTTCATGGCAGTGAGCAGTGGCATGGGTCCTGGCCAGCACCTGCAGCCAGCTTAGATTTGTAGCACTACAGGCTCTCTGAGGGTCTCTTTCTCTATCAACAGGTAGTCCCTGGGAATGCTCAATCCTGGCCAGCTCTCCGTTCCCTCCTGCATAGGAACCTGGTCCTCAGGACACGCCAGCCAGCCAGGTGAGACCAGATTCAGGGAATACAGGAGGCAGGGACAGGATACATGTGATATTCTTGGTGAGTCCCTACAGTTGCACAATTTGCTGTTGAGGCAGGGAAAGACTGGCCTTTCCCACAAGGAGCCTACACTAAGCTGGGAGGCTGAGAAAAGAGGATTGCAAGTTCAAGGCCAGCCTCGGCAACTGTCTCAAAATATAAAAAGGGTTAGGGATGTAGCTCAATAGAAAAGTGCTCCTGGATTCAGTCTCCAGTATCAAACCAACAAAGGAGCCCACACTGTTGGAGTACCAGGAGCATGTGAGCAATGGGGGGCAGCAGGGGATGGAGGATGGGTGCCAGAGTTATTACAGGAGCTCAGCCTTTGCCAAGGAGAGGGCATTTAGCATGTCTTAAAATTTGCTTTTCTTGTTTGTTTGGTTTTGGCAGTGGGAATTAAACCAGAGGGCCTTTATCGCTGAGCTACATCCCCCAGCCTTTTTACTTTATTGCATCTATTTTGAGACAGGGTCTTACTCAGTAGTTCAGGTCCTCTCTAAGTTGCTGAGGCTGACCTTGCACTTCTGATTCTCCTGCCGCAGTCTCTGGAGTTATTAAGATTACAGGCATGGCATGTATTAAAATCTGGCTGATAGGCCTCCACCACCATATCCCACTTTCTGAGATCCTAGCTACTTGGTAGGTTGAAGTGAGACTCTAAAATTTAGCAAGAGGCAGACTCAGAAATTTTAAAAAGCTGGGAATGAGGCTTAATGGTAGAGTGTCCCTGGGTTCAATCCCCAGGGCAAAACAAAAAAAACTGGGAGGGGACTCATAGGCAGGTAGGAGGGAACAGAACGAGCAAACAAGGAGAAAAAAGTTTTTGCCTGTGACATGTATTACACAGGGCAAATAACAGTAGGCAGGCCCCCAGGAAACTGATCTGAGAGACAAGAAGACAGGGAGCCAGTGGACTTGTTTTTGCACAGGGCTGCCAAGATGGAGAGAGGCCCGCCTAGCTGGGTGACAGCCTGCCAGATGTGAGTGAAGAAGGGAAAGCTATGTTTGTCTCCTCCACCTCCCAGGTACTCACTGACCCCAGAGGGCCTGGAGCTGGCCCAGAAGTTGGCTGAGTCAGAAAGCCTGAGCTTACTGAATGTGGGCACTGGACCTGAGAAGCCCTCTGGGGAGGAGTCAGCAGTGCCAGGAGCAGCCTCAGCTGAGCTGTGAGGAGGAAAGGGGGGGCAGGGCAGAAATGAAGCCAACACCACACCCTTATCTCTATGATCTACACCTGCTGCCCTACCTTCTATGGGTTGTAGGGGGATGCCCTGGGAGTTCTAGCCTCACATAGAGCCACCCCCTCCATAGTGGTGCCAGTGAAGGAGGGGTCCATCAGCCACTGCTGGAGCTGAGGCCTAGAGAGTACAGGGTGCTGTTGTGTGTGGACATCAGCGAGACCAGGGGGTAAGTAGAGGGGGGAAATCCATGAAGATGATCAGAAGATGCTGCAGGGTAGAGCATACTGGCCTGATCTTGGTCTCCCTCCCTGTTATTTCAGGGCAGGACATAGGCAAGAGCTGCTCCGAGAGCTACAGCGGATGCATGTGGCCCATACAGTGCGCAAGCTGCACGTTGGGGACTTTGTGTGGGTGGCACAGGAGATCAGGCCCAGAGACCCAGGTAAATGGCTGTGGATGGGCAGGCATTAGAGGCAGGCCTTGGGGAGAGAGGTGGGACACAAGCCAATGGGTTCTTTGACTTCTTGGCAGCCAGACCTGGAGAGTTAGTCCTGGATCACATCGTGGAGCGCAAGCGCCTGGACGACCTGTGCAGTAGCATCATCGATGGCCGCTTCCGGGAACAGAAGGTTCCTTTGCTGGACCTCCTCGCCTTGCTTTGCACCAGGGTCACTGCCTCGGCCCAAAGGCAGCTGGGGAGCACTGCTGCGT